TTTCTTTCTTTCTTTCTTTCTTTCCTAATGTGCCTATGTTATTCAAGCCTCAATAAATATTTGGTGAATGAAAAAAAATAAAAGGAGAATAAAGGACTAGGGAAAGAGGTGAGCAGAGGCTCTGGAGAGTCCATTCGGTCATCAAGTCTGAGTTAAGAAGAAGAAAGACCACCCAGTGAAAAGTGAGTGTAAGGCTTGAACAGACATTCCATCAAAGAAGACATGCAAATTACTAATAAGTCCATGGAAGGGTACTCAACATTATTCCTTAGTATGGAAATGCACAATAAAACCACAATGAAATACCTGTTTATGTACACAATAATGGCCCTAATCAAAAAAACAGTCAAAAGGAAGTGTTGGCAAAGATGTAAAGAAACTGGTGGAAATGTAAAGTGGAATAACACTTTGGACAAGTTTGGCAATTTCTTGAGAAGTTTACTTACCATATGACCCAGTGATTCTGTTATTAAGAATATACCTAAGGAGGGGCAACTGGGTGGCTGAGTCAATTAAGTGTCTGACTCTCGGTTTCCACACAGGTCATGATTTCAGGGTTGTGAGATTGAGCTTCCCCCCACCTACACCTTGAGCCTCATGCACAATGGGGAGTCTGCTTGAGACTCTCTCCCTCTGTCCCTCCCCCCAAAATAGATTAAAAACATCTTTTAAAAAAAGATTTAAATAAAAAAAATTTATATCTAAAGAAAATGAAGACAGATGTCCCCAGATAGACTTGTGCATGACTGTTCTCAGCCAGGCTACTCATAAGAAACTGAAAACATCCAAACGTCCATAAATTAGTGAACAGATAAATGAAATGGGGTATACCCATACAGAAGAATACTGTTTGGTCATTAAAAGGAATTAAATACTGAAATATTACCACAACATGAATGAAACCCAAAACCATTGTGATAGGCACAGAAGACGATATATCCCAATGCTCCTACTTAAAGGAATAGTCAGAAAAGGCAAATTTATAAAGATAACATGTGGATCTAGCTGCTGCCTGTGATTGGAGGTGGGAGCAGGGACAGACCACACACATGCTCCTGGGAATTTTGGGGGGTGGGTAATGAAAATGTTCTCATCTTGGATTGCGGTGATGGTTATGCAGCTCCATGCATTTACTAAAAATCATTGAATTGTGAAATTACAATGAATGGATTATATGATATAGCTATTATACCTAAAAAAAAACAAAAAACAAAAAAAAAAGTAAAAGGTAATGTAAATTTAGAAAAAAGAAAGAGGAAGAAGATAAAAAAAGAGAAAAGTGATTGTGAGTCCTGGTATATTCTTCAAGGATATTAATAGGAAAAACTGATCAGTTATAGGGCCTGGGGTGAGAAGTTTGTAAGCTGTCAGTTTGGGCTCACATAGGGAGATGGCTCCACCTTGAAAAGTCTGTTGTTTTTGTTCTGGAAGCTTCTAGGATGGCCATAGCTTTCGTCTTTACCTCTGGGCTCACGCCTCAGGATCGATGGGGTCTCTTCCAGAGTGTAGACTGCAAGCTAAGATCAAATTGGTGGGGACTTCTCCCCTTCCAGATACACAATGTAAAACTGATCATGCAAAAAGGCCCCCTCACGCCTTGAGGCTGAGGCCTCACTGCTGCTGCTGGTCTCTTCTTGGGCTCCCAAACCATCAAGAGCTGCATGTTGGAAGATTCTCCCTCTAGTTTCTGTGGGTCACCACTCCCAGGAGATCTTGCTTCAGCAGGGGTAGTGTGACTTGCCATCAGAAACCCATCTGAAGCAAATTAGATGTGTTTTCCAGTCTATTCACCCTGATCCAGAGGGAGGAGGACCCCGGGGCAGAGACTGTCATTGAAGATCAGGAGTTTCATCTTGTAGCTCAGCTCCAGCCTGGTGCCTCCATCTCTAAATTGAAGATGCTTATTTGACACCACATCCTATCTCTGAGGCATTATCGCCTGAGGCAGTGGGATTGAAGACTGCACTACTGCTGTGTCATTCGTAAAGATGAAGGAAATATCTGATGCAGCAAACGGCTGATTTCCAAGAAGATCGTGAACATGTTTAGACCTGGTCATCCTGTTTACTCTCCAGGTCATTGGTAATTGAAATTTATTGCATATATTCTGTGAGTCCCTGTGAACAGGAGGGAAGGTTTCATCCGTGGCTTTTAGGAAAGTCGTCCTCTCGAGCAGAGAACAGCAGTCCTGCCAGGTTGTACCCACACATCTCAGCCGTTTCCAGCCCCTTCAGTGCTACTTGTTGCCATTTAGTCTTGTTGCCTGGAGGAATTCAGAACCGGCCCCCTCTGGGATCAACAACAGAAATATACTCAAAGCTACTCAGATTTTAGTGGATGACAGTAATAGAATATTTATTTCAGAAAATTTCTAGAATGGCAGGAAAATACAGCCACTGTGGAAAATTGGTAGCTTACTTTTTCATATTGCCATATACATCTCCCAGAAGAGAATAAAAAATATATGAACAGAGCAAAATAATCATTCAGTAAGTAAGAAGATCACCAACTGGTATCAGTAATATCATAAGAAACACAACAGAATTTTTCAGAATATACCAATATCCGACAGATGCTTGGGAGGCATCTTAAGAATACGAACATACAATTGCCATGGATTCCAACTGTGATATGATTCCAGGTTCCCAAATTCTCCAGGCCTTGGTAAATAAGCAACTGGAAAATATTGAAGCTCACAATTTAGATTTTTTCCTTTCAGAGGTCTGGCAATAATGGATTTCCCAAAAATGATTTAAAACATTACTCCTGAAATTTTTCTGCTGGTCATTATTTTCAAAGTTGTATACTTCAGGAATAAGCTTTACAAATGTAACCATTAGATATGTAGTGCTGGAGAGAAAAAAAATTATTCATTTGACCACTTCCCTGATCACATGCTTTTTTTATCGGGCAGATGATTCTTCATTGTACTATGGACCATACATGTCAGTTATTCAATAATATGTATATTACAGCATCAAGAGGAGTTATTTTCCTAAGGAAATTTGTTTGTAATAAAGAACAACAGTTGTATTATAAATAACACATGTATTTTTAAAAGACAACCAAGTGACTCTTGTGTCAATAAATAGGAGAAAGCTTATTTGTCCATGAAAGAGTCCTGCATGAACTTGGATTTTTGGGGGGACATCTGATTTCTGGAGCTGAGGGAGGCGCGGACAAGCACAGCAGTAGGGTGGTGGCATCACGACCAAGGGTCAGGGCGAGCCAGGCAGCACCCCGAGTGTGGACTGCAGCTGAATGAAAAAGAGGAGATGTGATGCTAGAGAAGATGGGAGGGGTGGCAAGGAGAGGCCTGGCAGGTGGCCTGCGTCATAGCACGGAGGAAGTTCCAAAGATGCAGGGAGTGTTTTCCTTCCACAAGACTGCTCTACCCTGTGAAATATCACTACTGGCTTGAAGGGCTGCTTGGGATGCATTCCAGGTCACAATTGTTATTGTCACCTTCCACGTAAACAGCCGAGGGTCATGAGTGCCTTTGCAGGGTTGTCATTTAATGCTCTCACTATAGAGAAGAAACATTCGCAAGGAAATCCATCGGAAAGGCATAGAGATGGGGGGAGCCCCAAGTGTTTCCCAGCACACATCTCTACGAGAGAGCCTGTGTCCCTCAACTGCCTTAGGCTCAGAATCACCCAGTCTCTGCACAAAGAATATTATTAGAATAGAGCTAATAAATGTTGATTTTGGAAAATTCAAAAATATAACAAAGTAAAAGGGAAAATTTACACATAATCCTACTGCTCGAAGTAGCCATTAACATTCTTATGCAATTTGATTTTTTTATGCAGATACATAAACAAATGTGGGGTTGTGATTATAATGTACACAGGTGTTGGGTCTTCCTCTCTTCGTTTATTCATATACATTTTCTATGGAGTTGTAAATGCTTGGTAAACATTATTTTTCATAGTTGCCTTATTGAAATCTTCCCAGGCCTGTGTTTTTTTTCTGTCATAAATGATACTGTAATGAAATTTTAGGCATAAATATTTTTCTACAGATTTCAGAATATTTACTTAGGGTAGATGCCCAGAAGGAGAATTACTGAGTTAAAGTGGGAAAACATTAAGTTTTCAGGCTCTTCATTTGTGTTTTTGATTTCTTTTCCCTAAATAGTTGCTTGCCCTCCAGCAACACTGGTGTGCTTTTCACTCGACCCTCCAGTAGCACTGTGTATTATCATTCAAGAAGTCACTTGCTCATTTTGTATCCTCTAATTTAAAGATATTAAAGATGAAGTAACAAGGACAATGAACCAAAAACCACTGCAAATATAGTAAGGTAATAAAACCTAATCTTCTTGGCTTGCTTACCATGGACTAAGTGGTTTATGTTCACCCGATTCCCTCACCTCTGGCAGGTGGATGCCGTGTGATGCCTGGTTAACAAGTGAGTAAATGGAGGCACATGGAGGGGAAGTAGCCCAAGTTTAAATGGCTGGAATGCAAACATCTGGCTTGTTTACTAACCTACGAGATTTATTTATCCTATTTAAAATTGAGGTTTTCATTTCTCTGCTGATTTTAGCTCATTCCAGTTTTGTCTTTTTTCCTTGCATCTTCCCTTGTATTTCCTTGTATCTTTCTCTGTATCCACTCCTTGTTCCTCGATGGTGGATATCTATTCATCCCTTAGAGTTGCCACATGGATTCTCTGTGAGGCTTTCCCTGCACCATCACCATCCTTTTTCTTAACTAATTCTCTCACCTTGGGATGCCTGGGTGGCTCAGCGGTTTAGCACATGCCTTCAGCCCAGGGTGTGATCCCCGGGCCCAGGATCAAGTCCTGCATCAGGGTCCCTGCATAGAGCCTGCTTCTCCCTCTGCCTGTGTCTCTGCCTCTCTCATTCTCTCTCTCTCTCTCTCTCTCTCTCTCTCTCTCTCTCTCCCCCCTCCCATGAATAAATAAATTAAAAAAAAAAAACGAATTCTCTCACCTCGATGGTTCCAGAGGTTCTCCAAGAGGTAATGTAACTACTTAGGTGGGAGGCGTATCTTTCCCACTAAAGTCTGGGCTTAGCTGGAACAGAGAAACCATGCCACCCATTGTCTGACTTAAGCCCATTCCAATTTTTATCTAATTTTCTGAGCCTGCCCTTTCTTCCTCTTCCTCCTATAGGGGATTCCATTGTTAGGCCTGGTTTCTACCCACAGCATCTGGATGGATGGATGTGCGCCAGCTCAGGAATGTTTGCTACCTGTGGCTAGGCTGAGGCCATTCTGTCTCTCCCAGACCTGCCTCTCAATAGGGGCACTGCCTTTGCTCTTTCTGCTATTTACATGCTTGTCTCCGACAGTCTATCTAGCAAATCAGAAATCAGAACAGGAATGATTTTTAAAGTTTCTCCAGGGGGGTTTGTCTTTTTCGAGAGGGAGAGACAGTGGGGAGGTGTTGGGGGAGTGGGAGAAGGAGAAGGAGAGAGAGACTCTTTAGCAGGCTCCATGCTGAGCTGGGAGTCTGATGTGGGGCTGGATCTCATGCCCCTGACTGAGATCATGACCTGAGCCAAAATCAAGAGTCCGACGCTTATCCAACTGAACCACCTAAGCGCCCCTGTCCTGGTGGTTTTAATGCAGCAAGAGAGAGGATCTCTCTCTAGATCTATTCGTCTGGTAGCTTAGTCAAAAAAAAATGCCTGCTTTTGAATCACTGGCCGACATGCTGAAAGCATTCTGATCAGTTTGATGAAAGGCCAATCTTTCCATCTCTCTGCAAGTACATACCTGTAAAAGGGAAAAGAAAATTAACAAATTTTTAAAGTATTAGAAATGAACTGAGCATGATGATAATAATACCAATAATAATAAATTAGTAATACCAAAATACCAATAATAATGAAAACTAATTTTTATGGACCATTTTATGTGCCAGACACTGTCAATTGCTATGTGTTTCTCCATATCTTTTCACCTAAGCTGTTCTTAAGATATAAAGGACCATTATTTTCATTTCACAAGTGGAGATCTTAATAGAGACATTAATATGACCAAGGTGACACAGCTGGTAAGAGCGGAACCAGTATTTTAAACAGTCAGCCTGCCTCCTAACCCATATAATTAACCATGACAGAATGTAGGAAGGTGGAATTTATGGGAAGAATTTAGACTAAACCTAAATTGCTAATTTTTTTAAGATTTTATTTATTTATTCATGAGAGGCACAGAGAGAGAGAGAGAGAGAGAGAGAGAGAGAGAGAGGCAGAGACACAGGCAAAGGGAGAAGCAGGCTCCATGCAGGGAGCCTGATATGGGACTCAATCCCGGGACTCCAGGATCATGCCCTGGGCCAAAGGCAGGCACTAAACTGCTGGGCCATCCAGGGATCCCCTAAATTGCTGATGTTTAGACAGCAAATATAAATAAGAAGCCGAAGATTGGTATAATAAACTTTGTTTCCTATGTCCCTACCCAGAGAAAGAACTCATCTTCTTTTCAAGCACCCATGAAATATTTACAAAATGGATTCAGTTCTGACCTCAAAATTAAAATTACACAAGCCATATTTACTGGTGAAAATAAAGTTGAAAATTCACAGATTTTAATATTATACATAAGTTTACAGTTCTTCCCCAAATCCAATCTCTTACAAAAAGTAAATCCTAAATAATAGTCATAAGTAGAATTATAATTCTATGTAATGCAAGAATAGTGGAAGTTCTACATTTAAATACTTTGATGTGCAGCCAGACAAGTACTTCTTCAGATAGGCAAAACCTCTCTTTAGAGTTTTTTTTTTAACAAGAAAGAATTAAGTAAATAATCACAACACTGAGCTATTTATTCTAAGAAGGTAAAAATAAAGAAAACGAAGCTGCCTTTGGATATGTTAGGCTGCTCAGTGTTTGACCTTCATATCCTTCTAATAGAATGGAATACAAAGGAAATATCATGTGGAATAATACCTAAAACCTAATTATCACACTGTAATATTATATCTTTTGTTTTCCACTTATTTATGTGACAAGTTATTTCCTTATAGAAGTCACATAAGTGGATCTGACTCTTAGAAAACCAGGATTATCTGCCATGTTGTATTCTGTGTTCTTTGAAGCGATTATAAATTGTGCTGGATAAATTGTACTTGTAAATCCCAGATTTCAAAGGTAAAAACAACTAATCTATAAGTAGTAAGATCACCCAAGATCACCCATTTCTAAAACTGTCCTAGTGAGTATCCACTTATATTATTTTAAATATACTTATATTAATTTGTGTGTATTTATTTGAATATATATATATATATATATATGGTGTATATTCATATTTCGTCCATTCTTGGACTGATTTCCTTTTCTCGTCCAAAAAATTCTATTAACTTATAGTGTTTCTAATCACATTTGCAATTATCTTAAGGACCCTAATATAAAGAGTGTCAGGGACTGGTAATTTCATTAATTTCTGCCAGTGTGCAAAAATCATTAATTTACCATTCACATACTTGAGTAATTGAAATAACCTCTTTCTCTATGCTTGCCAACGTTTTCCCTCCTGCTTGAATTCTTTCTATCTTATGGTTGCTAGCAATGTTCTTTTCCTTTTCTTATCTGTGATGACCTTTCACTAAAAGTTAACTTTTTCCCAACATTTTCAGGATGTTGCATTAATACCTTTTGGCATTCTGGATTTCATTTCGACTGGGGAGCATCATTTGCCTGATTCTTGTGCTTTAAATTACTGATTACTTTTTTCTGAATGCTCATAGTTTCTACCTTGTATTACAGGTGTGTATGTGTGTGTGCATGTGTGTGAGTGAATGTTTAGTCTCCACTCCAGAAACGTGAGCTCCTGAGACAAGATTCCATGTTTGACTTATTTGAGTGTTCTCTTGGGCCTATATAATATATATGTGTATGTATGTATATATGCATATATACTGTACTATATACAGTACTTTGTACATATTAGCTGCTAAGTAAGCATATTATTATTTATTTATTTATTTATTTATTTATTTATTTATTTATTTTTTAGTAAGCATGTTAAATGAGAAATAAAGGATGTCTTTTATTTTTGGCAAACAACTTCCTCATTCTTATTTTTGCTTTCCTTGACTTATCTGCATATAGCATGCCTAATTCAGGCATCTTTGTGGAAGATGTGTTCTCTACACTGCCTGACCATTCAGTACCAGAAAGACTACAAATATTATTCCTTGATGAAAGCTAAGTTTTGTTTTGTTTTTTAATTAAAGCCGGGACTTGGTAAAATCAATGGAGGAACATGCAAATTATAATATCTAGTTTTCCAAACAATGAATTTAAACTTCTTTCCTCACCTATTACTTCAGTTTAGGTTTTACAAATTTTTCATCTAGTTTGATACTTATCAGTGATTTTTCTAGAAAGACTTAGCCAGATGTGTGATTTCTTTAGCTTTATGATGTCTTGCTTGATTTGAAAGTATCTTTTTATCCATTGAAGTGGCTATGAGCTGGACTCAGAAATGCCAAAGAAAAATTGGTCTTAGAAAAGTAGAATGAGGGATCCCTGGGTGGCACAGCGGTTTAGTGCCTGCCTTTGGTCCAGGGCGCGATCCTGGAGGCCCGGGATCGAATCCCACGATGGGCTCCCGGGGCATGGAGCCTGCTTCTCCCTCTGCCTATGTCTCTGCCTCTCTCTCTCTCTCTCTCTCTCTCTCTCTCTCTCTCTCTGACTATCATAAATAAATAAAATTTTTTTAAAAGAAGTAGAATGAACTAACCCACAAAGCATGTAAAGTCTGATTTTTGTGACATGGTGGTAGCACCCATATATTCACAGGGGCTGAGCATTTGAGTTTTGGATGAACTGACGTGATGCTATAATATGTAATGCCAAAGAATATGACTCTCACAGCCATGTAGTCATGTTTGGGCAAGGCCCATCCAAGTTTCCATCCTTCGAAGAGATGGAAAAATAAGCTTGTTTTATCTCTTTACACTCTGCTTTTTTCTAAGGCTCTTGGAGATTTATCACAAGCCCTGCCTGATTAATGGACAGTTTTAACCATGTTGACATTCTGATATTAGCCTCAGTACTTGGTTACTCGGAAATATTGTGACAACTTTATAGAGAAAGACAGACTATTCTGAGGCAGACATATAACTTCCCTAACCATGGGATCAATCTTTTTTGTAACTTCATGAATTCTTTCTGCTCTAATTCTTCTGTGCGCATCCAACATTGGCCTCTCAAATAAACCTAGTCTAGTGCCCTGGGAATTATCTACTTTTTCATTAAGGCAGCACAGATAGGGAGAGAATTACAGATTACCTTATTGAATTTATTTGAATTTATGTGAAATTCATCTGTATCATTCTGTCTCTTGCCCTTTTTTTATTGGTAATTCGAACTGATTCCCAATTCTCTGTTGAAATGCGTGTTATTCAGCTTTCCGTACAAAGTGGAATTTATATACCACTATGCACTTTTCCTTTACATTTATTCAATAGGTAAGTATCACTTAATCTTGTGCTTACAAAAATAATTTACATGAAGAACATTAAACGGCTCCCTGGGATCTTCCAGTGTTAAGAAAAATTACTTAAATGGGCTCCTTTGGAAAAGGAAAAATTACCTAAAATATATCTCATTATTTGTAGGTTCTATTATTGTTCAGCAAATATTCCCTCTCCCTCCTCCTGCCACAGAATTAGTATAACATTAATGCTGGGCTTGAACACATGACTTAGCTAATGAAATATGGGAGGTTATGACAGTATCTATCCCCTAATCCCCTTACACCCCTGCCCACCTTGATGAAGCAACATGTCCCAGCAGAAAGCTGCTCTTCCATCCTGGCTGTAAGTAAGAAGATGGGGGACACTTGTGACCTTGCCTCGCTACCTGGACACAGCTGACCTGCAGACCAATGTGTGAAAAACAAATGTTGGTGGTCATAAGCCACTGAGATCTGAGGCTGCTTCTTTTTTTTTTTTTTAAGATTTTATTTATTTATTCATGAGAGACACCGAGAGACAGGCAGAAACATAGGGAGAGTGAGAAGCAGGCCCCTCATGGGGAGCCTGATGTGGGACTTGATCCTAGAATTCCCGGACCAGGCCCTGAGCCAAAGGCAGATACTCAACCACTGAACCACCTGGGTGTCCCTCTGAGGTTGTTTCTTATGAAGCATGTTCACAGAGAGAATTCAGACTTGTTATGGACCAGCAACTAGCCTGTACCTCCCCTTTTCCACCTTTCCCAATGAAATTATGTATTGCTTTCATCCAGGTCTCGTTTTATCTTTATATGGTGTGTGTGTGTGTGTGTGTGTGTGTGTGTGTGTGTGCATGTGTGTTTGTGAGTGTATAGGTGTGTGCATGTGTGTGTACTCAAAAGAGGATAGCTATAATTTTTCTCTTAGGCCATGGGGGTGTAGTTCAAGAGGAACCATATCTGGACTTTCTGTAGAGGCTCATATGACAAGATCCTGGACTTCAAATCCAGTGTGTTTTAGAGTGTTCTCCTCAAGAAGGGTATGAGCTTATTTTGAAAGCAGAAGGAAAGTACATCAATATTTGAGACCAAGAGGATGGATTATGGTAAATTATATTATTATTCAACAAATACTTTTTTCTCCCCATCATGGAACATAAATACTATTGATCCCCACCAGTGATTGGATAAGCCATTTGATCACGTGATTTACTATGAACAGTGGGAATTGAGGGGAATGAATACTGTGCCAGGTCCAAAGGAGGGCTCTAAGAAGCACTCAAAGGTTCAACCAGTCTTCTTGCACTT